GCAGCAAGACTTCGCCAAGAGCAGCAAACAATAGACTCCATGTCGAAGAAGTTGGAACATGTTCACTTTTCTTCTACTATACAACTAAATGTTGGCGGTCATCGCTTTACAACAAGTCTTCAAACGCTTACCAAGGATCCAAATTCGATGCTGGCTGCAATGTTTTCAGGGAAGTTTGAGATGAAACCTTCTGAAGACGGCGCTTTCTTTATCGACCGAGATGGAACACACTTTCGGTTTGTACTCAATTATCTTCGCACTGGGAAATTGACTTTACCAAAAGGAGCAACATTTCTAGACGAACTTGCGGAGGAAGCTGCGTTCTACCAGATCCAAGGTATACTGGACGAGTTGGTGTCTAAAGCACCGCAGAATTTCGAAGAATCAGTAATTCTGACGACTGAAGAACATCGAAGCGTGCTGAGCGGTTGGTTGCCTCAACAAGACGGTAAATGGCAACTTCTGATGCGAGCTTCTCAAGATGGCTTTCAAGCTAAAACCTTCCATTCCAAATGTGACGACAAAGGGCCCACTGTCACCATCGTGAAGAGCGGAAACAACATTTTCGGTGGATTCACTGAAACATCGTGGAGCAGTAAGTGCATTAATTAGTTGTGACAGTTAATTTAAGGTATTTTTGGTCACATTTAGCGGGAAAATGAAAAGCTGGCTTAAGATCTTTGCAGAAGATTTTAAGTTGAGGAAATCATAATGAAATATTAATAGACTTTCAAACGTTTTCAAATATTGATAGTCAAGGATTGCAAATTATAAACAGGAAATAAACATAAACAATAATTCGTTTAAGACGATTTTAAAAGGTAGGCTTTGTCTTTTTTAACACTTTGTTTCTATGTTTTAGCTTAAGTAATAGAAAACAAGTTACAACAAATTAGTTTTAAAAAGAAGAGGTGTCTTTTTAACGAGAGAGGCTAGACGTGGTTAGCATAAGTATTAGGGCTGCTAGAGCCCCTCTCCCCAGGCCCCTGTCCAAGATTGGACTCTTTCAAAAGCACATCAGTTTCAATATCTAAAAAAATATCTAACCACATAATTTCCTTAGAGGAATAATGTTAAAAGGGTCATGTTACCCAGTGAGACTGGTGCATTAACACAACTGGGATATCAAATTGCCCCTAAGTGTCATGAATTTACTGCTTGTATAGTATGATGCACTGTCTAAGATCGTCTAAACATTCTCTGTTTTCTGACCGACGACAGAAAGATTAAAAACCAGTAGCAAGGAAAACTAATACCCCATTCACACCAGAGCTTAAACGTGTTTTTAAAGCAGTTTTGTTAAACAAGGTTTCAAAAGGGTTTTTTCTTCATAGAAGCTGCTTTAGCCGATGTTTGTCGGCCTTAACCTCAGCACATTGTAGGTGTGTAGAAGGGACGGGGAAGGGAGGAGGGCAGTAGTCGAGATCATGGCCATTTCTTTTCGGATATGATGTAAAGCTGGTTAGAAATAAAATGGAAGTTGAACATTATTCCAAAATTTGCATCAATATTAGTTTTGGGTTTTCTTTTCTGAAACAGGTTCGGGTAACTACGTGCGCTGCTCACAGTCATTTCTATTCAGCATGATGAATCCGCAAGGAGTGGCTCCGAGTAAAATGCCTCTTGTTAAAAATCAGCATGCCATTTACTGTGATAGCAGCTATGGGCCAACATTTGGAGGCGGGCATGACTTACATATTTCAAATGACGCAAACACAAGTAGTTTCAGTGAAAGCAATCTCGGCTACTCGTATCAGCTTCCCACTGGACAGCAGAGCACATTCTTCACGGGAGCTAAAAATTTTAATGTGACGGACTACGAAGTCTTTGGAATCTGCTGATGACAACCTTCACAAACATTTGAGAAGCCAGCAGGTTAAACTTCACAGTGATTTGAACTATCTTCTAGGTTATAACTTTTTTTGAAATCTTAACTTTTATTGTCATTTTCTACATCGAAATACATTATTTTCTTCTGACCACAACTAAAGCAAAGTACAAGATTCCCGTTTATCAGACTACGTCTATACGGAAATCTTTTCAAGCAAAGTTCCACACTTCATTCTACATACTGTTCTTGGATCAGAGAAAGCAATGGCAAAACAGTAGATTGCCTTTAATTTGGGACTACGGTTTTTTTTAGAATAGTATTGGGTTATACGGAAAGCTTTCCAGTTGTCTGGCTATCGGAAAAGAAGCCGTCACAAGTACTGATACAAAATCTGTTCGACACTTATTTTGAGTGGATTCTGGGAGCCATTCTGTACAATTCGAATTCCCAAGTAAATAAATGCGTAGAAAAGCCGTAGACAACTCAGTTATCTGTAAACTTTTTTCATTTCTGTACTCGTTTCACCGGTGGAAAAGAGCCGGATGAAACAAAACGAAACAAAAATTAGGATTTGGTAGGTTGTTCTTTGTGAAACGTAATAAATATACTGTTGACTTGTCAGTGGTGTATTCATATGGATTGTCATACTTTGGATTACGATTCTTGCTGAAAGAAAAAACGTTCAACGCATATTGATGCTGCCTACACTGACTGTGATTCAAATGGCGGACATAAGATAGAATTGGTGATACTAACCTAAATATGACCGCTGTTTGACATCTCGATGTTTTCTCAAACATAATAATCTGGAAAATATTCGTTAAGGTCATGTGAAGGGAAAAAATAGCATAATGTGAACATTCTTCCGTTCATAGCGCGGATAAGAATTCTTTGATAAATAAAATCTAGAAATCAAGTCAATTAAAACAACTAAGGCATGTTCTGGAAGTGCTTTCTGACTGAGCTCTTCGCACTTGTAAATATTAGGATGAGAAGGAAACGTGTCACGCTATCGGATGTTACGCATCACTTGTTTTGCTGACAAACAACCAAGATCTTATTCTTGATTTGAACCCGACTTGCTACTTTGAAACATTATATGTCAACATTTATAGGTTCCCAGAAAAAAAAAACTGGGGTGAAAAAAATTCTGATGGAAAATAATTAAACAAGTAATCAAGTTCTTGAAGACGCTGAAAATCAAATCAGAGAAGCCTGCGAGGTATTACAACGAGAAGCAACAAGACTTCGCCAACAGAAAGCTATCGACGCCATGTCGGAAAAAATAGAGCACTTCCATCTCTTGTCGATTGTAAACCTCCATGTTGGCGGCCGCCGTTTTACGACAAGTCTTCAAACGCTGACAAAAGATCCAGACTCGATGTTAGCTGCAATGTTCTCCGGGAAGTTGGAGGTGACACCATTAGAAGATGGAGCTTTCTTTATCGACCGAGACGGGAAACACCTCCGGTTTATACTCAACTATCTCCGCACTGGGAAATTAACTTTGCCAAAAGGAGATAAAGATAGACGAACTTGCGGAAGGTACTTTATCAGATCTAAGGGATTCTAGACGAGTTAGTATCTAAAGCACCGAAGTATTTTGAAGAATCAGTGATTCTGACGAATGAAGAACGCCGAAACGTGTTCATAACAAATAAATAGTTGGTTGTCACCACAACTTTGCCTTTGTTAAACAAGGTTTGAAATTCTTTTTCTTCATAGAAGCTGCTTACACCGGTGATTGTCAGCCATAAACTCAGTTGCACTGAAAATACAAGTTTGTGACTACATAAACCTATGGGAAAACCAGATTTCTATTTCACCGTTTCTGATTTTCATTGACTTAAACCCGGTTTAAATAAAACATGTTTAATTATGATATAGCCGCTTTTTCAGCAAATGTATTGTTTTCCTATTCCAAAAATTATATTTAGATTATTAATGTTCCATAATACAAGTTATGGCATGTGTACTAATAAAGCATAATTAGGCGTAAATAAAGCGATAAGAATACGACAGGAAAGACAAAGGAAGGTGTCACGCTCTGAACACGCCCTGCTCGATCTCTGCATCCTGTCTGATCCCTTTGTGGTTTTTATGATGAGTGTGAGTGCAAAAGTGAGTAGTCCTCTTCGCAACCATTGTTTGGTTCCGTCACATAATGTCTTCTTGTCACGCAATGGTTGCCGTTGCGTGACGAGACAAGCAAAGGCAGACAAGAAGAGAGGATTTGACTCATGAAAGGATGAAGGACCATGACAGGAAAGATGTGGGGTGCATTGGGGCTAGATAGGTTCAGGAGTGAAAGATCGTGGGATGAATATTTTTATCAACTAGCCGCTGCTCGCTTGCAGAGAAGGGACGTCTCAGTAAGCGTTACGTTGTTTTGAACGCGTACAGCTTACATCGGTACTAATAAGAAGAAGACCGGTATAGGTGTATGAGCTCTAGCAAAAATTAGCGCGAGAAACGTGACAGGAGACCACTCTGAACAAAGCCATGCGTTGAAAAATCGGATCAAGATCTTTTTCTGTTCTTTCTTAATCGAAGTAAATGTTTTCAAACTCCAGACGAAAAGTAAATATGCTTAAGAACGATTCACTATCGAAGTCTCGTAAGCAATGAAATGATCTCTCCCCCGCCTCTACTCTACGTACCAAATCGAAATTCAAAGTAACTACGAGTACGACATAAAATGGCCCTTGCCTAACTTAAGAAACTCTGTACAGCCTGATTAATGTTATTTTTTAGCTGTTTATAGATAAAATTGAAGATTTTGCGCTGATTTTTGTACAAAAAAAAAGAGAGAGAGTGAGTGAAAAAAGAGAAGGTGAAGAGCAACATGGATTACAATTTTTAAAAAGCCACTTACCAGTCAATCATGAACCCAATTTGGGGAGACTATGATATACTCTGGATTTAACCCTCGGCCTGACTTAGTCAAAATATCATTTAAAAGAACCAACTATCACCTTTACCGGCACGTCTTTGCTTTGGGTGCGAGTAATGCTTCTTCCCGTAAACAAGGAGTGTGGTTACGAAAACAACTTGCGCCATTGCGAACAGTTTGTACTACGTCATTTAAAAATCACGAAATTACTTTTAGAATAAGCATGACTGCATTCATCATGCTTTACGGCCATGCAGGAGTGTTAAGAGAGTTCCTTTCGTTTTCAGGATATCATTTGTATTTTAAGTAACCACGAGTAAAAGAGCCTCTACCAAGAGGCAAAAACAACAAAAACAAGGTCTGGACGCTGCAGAGGATCACTTCAAAGAGGCTTGCGAAATATTTCAGCGAGAAGCAGCTAGACTTCGCCAAGAGCAGGTAGCGATCGACGCCATGTCGAAGAAGTTGGAACATGCTCACTTTTCTTCAACTATACAGCTAAATGTCGGGGGTCATCGCTTCACAACAAGTCTTCAAACGATTACCAAGGATCCAAATTCAATGCTGGCAGCCATGTTTTCTGGGATGTTTGAAATGAAACCTAGTGAAGACGGCGCTTTCTTCATCGACCGAGATGGAACACACTTCCGGTTTATACTTAATTATCTTCGCAACGGCAAGTTGACTTTACCAGAAGGTGCAACATTTCTCAAAGAACTTGCTGATGAAGCTGAGTTCTACCAGATCCAAGGAATTCTGGATGAGTTGAAGCCTAAAGCACCGAAGAATTTTGAAGAATCAGTGATTCTGACAAATGAAGAGCACCGAAGCAAGCTTAATAGTTGGCTGCCTCAATACGATAGATGGCATCTACTGTTCCGAGCATCTCGAGATGGCTTCAGAGCTCAAGCTTTTCACGCCAAATGTAATAGCAAAGGACCCACGGTTACAATTGTGAAAAGTGGAAACAATATTTTTGGAGGCTTCACGGAAAATTCGTGGAAAAGTAAGTAAATAGGTTAATACAACATTTGAAAGGTTGAGTCGGTAGGGTAAGATGGCGATAATAGAAAGCTGCTTTAGGACTGTTGAGTTTATAAGTTACTCCAAAATTTGTGCCAAAAGTTTTTTTTTTCTTCTTTGAAACAGGTCACGCTAACTACGTGCACTGCTCACAGTCATTCTTGTTTAGCATGGTGAATCCGCAAGGAGTGGCCCCGAGTAAACTACCTCTTGTGAAAAATCAGCAGTATGCCATTAAGTGTAGGAGCGACCATGGACCAACCTTTGGAGGAGGGCATGACATATATATATCACCTAACGCAAACACAAGTGGTGCAAGTTACAGTAATCTCGGCCACACGTATCAGCGTCCCACCGGACAGCAGAGCACATTCTTCACAGGAGCTCCACATTTCAATGTGACGGACTTCGAAGTCTTTGGAATCTGCTAATGACAGCTGTCACAAACATTTGAGAAGCCAGCAGGCTAAACTTCACAATGATTTGAACTATCTACTCGGTTAACTCTTTGAAAAGCTTAACTTTTAATTCCATTTTTTACATCGAAAAGCACTATTTCATTCTGTCTGCAACCAAAGTAAAGTACAAGATTCCCGTAGAAACCCACTCCACAATATCAGACTATGTCTATTCGGAAATCTTTTCAAGCAAAGTTCCACACCTCATTATAAACTGTTCTTTCAGGTTGAAAGTAATGGCAAACAGTAAATTGCCTTTAATTTGGGATCACAGCTTTGCATTGTTTTAGAATAGTATTGGGTTATACGGAAAGCTTTCTAGTTGTTTGGCTGACGGAGAAGAAGCCGTCACAAGTACTGAAACAAAATCTATTTCAGGGGTGGATCCAGGGTAGTTTACCTGATTTCCGGAACTCACTCAAATTTTTTCCGACCTAGTTAAATGTTGATAAAAGTACTTTTGGAAAACACTCTAATTTCCCTTTGGAAACTACTGATACTATTGTGGAAATCACTAAACGTCTTCCAGAAATAAACCATCTTCCTGTTTTACAGTTATTTATTAAAGAAAATACGTTTAGAATGACTAATTTCGTTATAATTGCGGTCATGAGGCGTTCGGGAGCGCTCCGGATCACGCGCTGGCCTTTCGAGCTTCGATTACACCTCGGAAACCGTCGGAAGCCGTCGGAAAATGTTCGTGGAGCCAATCTTTACGCAACCGGTGGATGTAAGTCCTTGTTATTTGGTGACAATAACAGGCGGAACACTGTCAAAACCCCTCACGATTGGCTAGCAAAGATTTCGTCATCGGAACTCACTCAAAACACTCTTCTGATTGGCTAGTTGTGTTTGGAAACTACCTTGGAAACTACTGACAAAGTATAAAAAGGGCAGTTCCTCCCCCAGCGGGTCTCTTTCGTTGCTCCTACAATACAAGTACTTTTGAACTTGCTCAGGGGTTAACGACGGAATTTACTGTTAAACGTTTAAAACATACTAGTGTTATGACTCGCGGAGATCCTGTTTGTCGGAGGGAGGATTGTTCTCCCTTCGACATTGGCCTAGTTTTCGACGAGATCCACAACTACTCGCCGCATCAGAAGCTGGAGTTCGTCGAAAACGTGTGGAAACCAGGTGAGCTTTTTGATTTCCCCGTGTCAATGGAAAATAGAAAATCTCGTAAGTTTGTCTCGGGCTGGCTGAAAAGATTTCCACGGCTAGCTTACTCCAAAGATTTCGATGGAGCATTTTGTTTAGCTTGTGTTTGTTTTGGAGTTTAGTGTGGGCGAAACGCTAATAAGTTAGACAAATTATTGAAGTCTCCTCTCACAAATTGGACTTCGGCAGTGACCATTGCAAGACAAGTAGCAGTCCAGCCAGAAATGCCAAGGATAGCCCAGAGACAAATGCATAGAAATAATGCTCCTGCTGCAACTCCTGAGGGATATTTCAAGATCAATCTCACTAGAGTTTTTCTTGACCATGTACTCCAGCAGCTCAACACCAGATTCCAGGATGATGTATTTGTTTGCTATAAAGGTATTTCGATTATTCCCTCTGTTTTACTAGCTACTGACCCTGCCTGGAAGGCCAATGTTTTGGAATTTTGTAACCATTACAGACAGGACATACCAAATTATGCAGGATTACAGGCAGAGCTTTTGTTATGGGAGAGATTGTGGAAGGGGAGGGATAACAGAGGAGATATTATTCCTGACAGTTTGGAGGCTACACTGAAGGATATTGACAAAGATGCATATGTCAACATCTATTCCATGCTGAAAGTCCTGATCACAATTCCAATTTCATCTGCATCTTGTGAGAGATCCATATCATCCCTTCGGAATCTTAAGAACTATTTGAGAAATACAATGACCCAGGACAGACTGAATGGATTGGCACTGATGCATGCCCACAGAGACATGGATTTTGACCTTGAACGTATAATAGATTTATTTGCTGAGTTACATCCTAGGAGAATGAGAATGGCAAACATTTTGTAATAATTTTTTGCACCAGCTGTTTCTAGAGTACTTGTGAGTTATGTTCTGTCTGGGTTATGGCCTTTAAGTCTCATAATCCTTAAACTGATGGAGAACAGTACAGAAGCTCAAACTGGTGCCTGTATAACTTTTTTCAACTCATTTCAAGGTTATTTTCTATTTTGTTTTACTTGTGATGATTTTCCATTGACATTGACATTGGGTTTTCATGTTAAGCTTAAATGGTTAACAAACATTTTCACTGAACTCAACCAGCTTCACAGCAATTCCCAAGGATGAAGAAAGGCTAGTATTATTTCAAATTATCATTTTACTTCAATTTGTATATCATTTTATGATTCTTATAATTTATATTTTTCTAATAATTGTTTTATTTTTTGAATTCCAGCTCCCAACACAGGCTAACCATCCATAAAGCCCTTCTCTCTCTCTCAAATTCTTTTCTGTGTTGTGCTCCTATAAATGAAATGAATAAAAGCCAGCTCAGGAAATGTTGTTTTTAGTGTTGCTAAACATTTGGATTTATTGAGCCTGGCTTTCATTCATTTCATTCATTATAGGAGCACAACACAGAAGAAATTTGAGAGAGAGAAGGGCTTTATGGATGGTAAGCCTGTGGTCCCAAGGATGAAAAAGGCAAGTAGATTTTTATTATCAATCTTTAAACTATATCATCAATTGTGCTTGTTTTTCTTTTGTTATCAAAAACACTAACACTTGGTTCGTTTTTTTTTCTCCACATCTTGATTTTCCTGACTGGGAGGTGATGTTTTCCAGTGTGAAAAGTCTTGGTGATGACTTGGCCTTCCTGAAAACACTATATACACTGGTTTGCACAGTAGCTAAAGGTGGAATATTTGTAGATCAGAGTGTTTCCTGTAGTACTTTCAAGAAAAATAAATGTTTTTTGCCTTTTTGATTACATGCTTTTTTAGTCTTTTGGGGGCAATTAAATTTTCTAAAAATGCATGAAATGGCCTTTAGAGAGCTCCAAATTTCAAATTTTCTCGGGGGGGGCATGCCCCCGAACCCCCCTAGCAGGAGTGGGTCCTCGGGTGGAAACTACTCACTCAAAATCCTGGATCCACCCCTGTATTTGAGACCATTTAACACTTAATTTTTAGTGGATACCGCCGACAGCCACTCTATACAATTCCCTAGGTAGAGAATCAATCTGTCGAAAAGCTGTAAACGATCCAATTGTTTAAAAACTTTTTTCGTTTGTGCACTCGTTTCACCGGTTAAAGAAGGCCAGATGAAACAAAACAAACAAAAATTAGGATTTGGTAGGCCGCTCTTTATATGGAACGTAATAAATATATTGTTGACTTGTCGGTTGTGTATTCATGTGAATTGTCAGACTTCTGACGATTCTTGCTGAATGAATAAAATTTTCAATTTATGAAGCTGTTTATATCATCGGACGAATGCTGCCTACCGCACTGATTGTGATTCAAATGGCAGACATAAGATATAATTGGTGATACTAACCTAAATATGAACGCTGTTTGACGTCTCGATGTTTTCTCAAACATTACAATCCAGAAAATATTCGTTAAGGTCATGTGAGGGGACAAAATAGCATAATGTGAACATTCTTGCATTCATAGTTTTCGTGCGGTAAGTAGCTATAGGTGACGGGCGCAGTTCTTTAATAAGCAACATCTAGAAATAAATTCAATTAAATCAACCAAGGCATGTTCTGAAAATGTTCCTTCACTAGGCTCTTCATGAGAACAAAACGTGTCACGCTATCGCAAGTCACGCATTACGTGTTTTGTTTACAAACGACCACGCTCTTATTCCTGTTTTGAACTCGACTTGCTACTATGAAACAGCATTTCAACATTGGTTAGTTCTCAGAAAAAAGATAGGGTGGAAAAAAATTCTAATGGAAAATAATTCAAAAGGCAATCAAGTTCTTGAAGACCAGAGAAGCCTGCAAGGTATTACAACGAGAAGGAACAAGACTTCGCCATAAGCAAAAGCTATCGACGCCATGTCGAAAAAGTAGAGCACGTTCATCTCTCGTCGATTGTAAACCTCAGTGTTGGCAGCCGCCGTTTTACAGCAAGTCTTCAAACGCTGATAAAAGATCCAGACTCGATGTTAGCCGCTATGTTCTCCGCGAAGTTCGAAGTGAAACCATTAGAAGACGAAGCTTTATTTATCGACCGAGATGGGAAACACTTCCGGTTTATGCTCAACTATCTCCGCACTGGAAATTAACTTTGCCAAAAGGAGATAAAGATAGACGAACTTGTGGAAGAAGTTTTATCAGATCAAAGGGGTTCTAGAAGAGTTAGTATCTAAAGTACGGGAATATTTTGAAGAATCCGTGATTCTGACGAATGAAGAACACGGAAGCGTATTAAGTGGTTGGTTGTCTCCACGAGAGGGCAAATGGAAGATCCCGGGATGTCTTCCAAGCTCGAACGTTTCACTCCTCATGTGTCGCCAAAGGGCCTACCGTCACCATTGTGAAAGGCGGAAATTATATTTTTGGAGGATTCTCTGAGATATCGTAGGACAGGAAGTGTGTTAGTTGTGACATGGTTAAATAATGATATTTTTGGTCACATTTAGCGGCGTTAAATAAACATTTTAGGTTAAAGGATATTTCAAAATAGGAAAGATAACAAATCGCAACGAGACACCGAGACGTAAAAAGAGAGAAAAAGCTGGTTTAGGATCTTTGGGATTGCAGAAGTTAAGGAAATTAGAATGAAATATTAGCAGTCAGATTAAATGTAACAAATCTCTTCAAACTTTCCCAAATATTAACACGCATTGCAAATGATAAACAAGATAAACAATAAGTTTCAACAGGTGCTCGTCAAGTATGGGCTCCTGGTGTCAAGAACTCGTTCAAGACGATTTTTAAAGGTGTGCCACACACCAGAAAGGCGTGTCAGCCTCAAGTAGGCAACGCCTACTGAAGGTCTCCTAGGTTGGACCCCTTCAAAAGCTGATCAGTTTCAATATCCAAAAAACGTCCAACCACATTATTTGAAGTTTTATTCATATTTTCGAAATATTCTTATTTTCTCAGAGAAATAATATTACGAGGGTCATTTACCCTGTATGATTCGTTGCATTTACATACACTTTTTAGCGCCGCTGATTAGATACCCA